ATTTCAATCGAGCGAGGAAAGGTAATTACGACGAGGCGAAAAAAGATATATATATATATATATATATATATATATATATATATATATATATATATGTATGTATGTATGTATGTATGTATGTATATGTAGCCTGCATCTCCCGCAGGCTCAACACCTGCGTAATTATAGCTGCCCGGCCAAATCGATGCGATAATTATTTTGCGGGCAAGCAGCAGGAAAATATCAGTCAAGCGGCCCGTGTTAGATTAATAAACAAAAAGTATAGTATAATTAGCAGTAATATCCGAGTTATAACTTTTGAAAATATACATTACACGGCGGATTAATGTGACTGAGCAGATTTAAATGAGTAATTTATGTAAAATGCATGCGCGACCGCTTGAACTCGCGTAATTAAAATGCCCTCGGTTTTCCCCGTTTCTCGAAGCGACGTCGATGCGTTATTTCCTTAGCGCGGCACTCCTACGGGATAATGGCGCACGTTCATCGAGAAAACATTCTCGCGCAGAAATTTGCAGTAGAGAAATCTGCAGTACAAGCGCGACCGTATCAATTCGTATCGCGGGCCGCGAATTTTAATCATTGGACGACTTTTATATCATTGGGCAATTGGCAATTTATATGTTTCAAATTAGTTTCCGCCTTCCCTTTCCACTACTCTGCCTAAATATAGCGTCTCGCGTAATGAAATCAATTCCGTTAAATTGTATGCTACAGCGCACGGCGATGCAATTTGAAAAGGTCGCCGTCGGATAATTGAACTGTTTTCCTCAAATCTCCAGTGCAGAGTCGCAATCGCGTTACTCGTGTCGAATCGCTCGATGTTAAGACCGTGACGTTTCACGGTGAGCTGAATTTTCCGAAAATTAAGAAAATCTTTGTCTCTCAACCAGAGGAAGAGAAAATTATTAAGCTTATTATTAAGCGCCCCAGATACGCTGTCCTCAAGCGACTATCTATCTGCATTATATAACACAAGTAAAGTACTTTATATCTAATATAATAAAAATTAAAATATAGTTTAAGAAAAGAACATAACATAGGAGAGGCCGAGTCAAATTGATTTAAAGTCATGTCAGTTAAGTATTTAATTTATTCTAAGAAAAGCAGTGAATGAAAAATTGCAAAATATCCTCTTTAAATAATTGAATTTAAATCATGGTTATCAAGTTATGAAGGAACAAACAAATAAACACATAAAAACTATAAAGCTTTCTTTTTGAGGTTGATAAAAAACATTTTACGATTCTTTACTTTTCCACTGTTTCTCTCACAATAAATACATAAACGAAAAACATAGTCGACGTGAACCTTGAGCTAACTTAGAATTTGGCCCGCTTAGAATTTCTCTAGCCCAGAGTCAAGACAAAGCGTGATGATTCCTGATTAGTCTGCATCCTGTCCGCCATTTTTTGACGTGAGTGGGAGTGAGGAAGAGATTCTGGTGGAGGAGTGAGAGAGAAGCTCTGAAACTGAAATGATGAAGCACGCTCCAGTTTCTTTTTTTACTCTCTTGCTCCCTATAAATGGCGGACGGTGTCCAAACTCTGGCTTGAGGAACTCTGGTCTCGCCTATGTAACATCAAATTTAGAACACTCTGCATAAACCTTAGCAACTGAGAAATACATAGAATAAGTATAAATACTCTCTCCATGTAATCGTAAGATCACAGAGATCGTAAGAGAGAGAGAGAACTATTCGCTTCGCGAAAACAGGAGTACGTCACTTTGTAATACAGGATAATACCGAGTACCACTTCAGAGCGCAATGAAATTTTATCCCGAGACTTTTAACACAGAGGCGCTTACGGGCTCTCTTCAAAGTTCATGAGGTCACGCCCTTTTGCCTATCGAGCGATTCGCTCGTTTCTGTCTCTCTCTCACTTTTCTGTCTCTCTCTCTTTCGGTTTGCGGAGAAGCAAATTAAACTCGAAATCGTCGGAGAGCGTAATTGGATTGACGATTAATAAACCACGAGAGATGATCACATGCGCGCGTAGCGGCTACGAAGCCGCAGAAGAATACGGCCAGATTATTAACGCTTTTTTTTTTCAATTAGATAACGTGTGGAGTTCACACATAGGGCGAGCTAGTCACGCTCTAGTGGGAGAGAGAGATGCGATATATTTCTTCACATCTCTGATACGGATTGCCCGAGGGATGAGAGGGAGAGAGAAAGAGAGATGAGAGGGGGTGAGAGAAGGAGGGAGGGAGGAAGGAGGACGGAGACGAGCGATCGCCGGAATGCTGCATCACGCCGTGGGACAACGAGGAACATATCGGGGCCGGGTTGGAACTGTTGCTAATCGCCGCCGAAATCTCGAATTAATGGCACGAAAGCTGCGCGCGGAATTCGGAATTGGTGGCGCGCGCGACGCGCCTAACCCGGCAAAAACGTCGTCTCGTCTGTCCACCCGTCCGTCTGTTCCCGTTCGTTCGCCCGTTTGCGTGTACATATTCCCAAAACGATAAATGCTGCCGCGCTTTGGTGCATACGCCTCGATACATTTTATGCAAATATCGCAGCTGCGCCGCTATGTGGAGTTATCGGTGAATTCACGCGTGTCTATTCACTCTGCGAATCGTAACGGCGGCACTCGTATAGCGTGGACTTTGATTCGTACGGAGTGGACTCGGCCGTTTTGCAAAATCGTTTCGTCCGTTCGTCTGTGTGCGCGAACGTTGTTTACTTAATGAATGATCGCCCGGCCTCGCGGCACATTAATTAAAAGGGACCGATGTTGTTCAAACATCGCCGATTCCATTATTTCGCAATTTAGCAGGACTATCGATTTGTAATATTGTTGTTTAATGAAATAAAAAAGTCGCGCGCGCGCACGTGTGTGTGTATATATGTGACATCACACATAATGGCATAAATTATTGTATTATACGCGTTGCGTATAACACAATGTGATTACGATGTGCAAATACATATTACTCGAGTCTGAAGCAGGGATGGGATTTCGAGGACGAAGCCGCGTCGAAAAATATATGACAATTGTTATGTACATAGAAAGAAGTCACGTACATGTGCACATGTACGTAACTTCTCTCTACCCCGAGAAAAAAATATTTAAAAATTAATAAATATTTATTAGATGAGTACCATTAACATATTTACTTAAATCAAAATTCTCTTTAATTAAATCGAGTATTGTTTACTTAAATAAGTTCTAGGTATTTTTTTCTCAGTATATGTGCATGTCAATTGTCATTTATATTTATCGGCGCGGTTTGGTCCTCGAGATTCCATTTCTGGTTTAAAGATTCTCGCGGCGGGTGCGAGAAGAGAACCGCGGTTATTCTTGCAAATATATGATATAAGTAGAAGAAATATAAGTAGAACTTCCACATACTTTAATTAAAATCAGGAGAATGAATTTTTTAAGCAGTCTGAAAGTGGAAAGATTAATAAACTGGGAATTAAGACTCTCGCATGTTATTTCTCTTCTTTCGAAAAGTAAGATATTACGGCCATTAATCCTCGGGAATTCCGGTTGCGCGAGCTGCATTAGGCGCTCCTTGTTTCCCGGCCGTTCCTCCGCGCGCGCGGACGGTTTTCTTGCGGAAAATTTTGCCAAATTGTAAATTATGAAATGAAGTTCCGCGCGTCGGCGTCCTTCGCGCGACATCGTCGTACACGGATCTAAGTTTGTCGCTTAAGTTCTCCGACAGACGCCAAGAGGAAAACTTATTGGAGAAAAGAAAGGAAAATCTATTACTTCTCCCTGAAATCGCATTCTGATCGTACACGGAGAGAATGTGATAGTTTTCTCCCGTACAAGTTCTTTTCAGTTTTACTACACTGAAGAAAAATGTTTGGTATTTGTAACTATAATCACATAGAGAAAATAATGACTATAAATTATGGTCTTGAAAACCGTTTATTCACTAAATTCTACTACTATTAATGATAATGAATCATGTATGCATATCACCACAATCATTTTTGTGTTAGGACAAATAAAAAATGGAGCCCAAAATAAGTATAATCTCAATTAATATTTTTTTCTTTCAGTATATATTTCCATACTGAGAACAAATATCAAAGAAATAAAAAATATTTATTCAGTGGACACACATTGATAACATATTAACTTGTATTAATATAAAATATTTTTCAAGTATAAATGTACATTTTCTTAAAATCGTAGCTTCTTACGCAAGCATTTGTTCTATTTAAATAAAAGAATTTAGATTTTATTAAATATATTATTAATACCCACCGAATGAATATTTTGTTTTCTTTTAGATATTTTCACTTTCAGTGTAATAATGCAGGAATAAAATGTCAATAAGGTCTATTTTGCTAAGGAACAAATTTGATTAAGAACTTAGCGAAATTTTTATAATTGCGCATTTCAGTTCCCAAAATATAAGTAGCGTATATGAAAAATGGAAAGATAACACATTGCTGCAGAATGTCGATTTCTTGGTCACAAAATTCTACGGTATAATTTTCATCAAAAAATTCTCTTCGTGTATTCAAGTTATGTGGATATAAATTGCGCCGACAAAATTACCGAGGCTCGTACAAATATATATCAATATCTAACCGAAAATCTAAAGTTTTTCTCATCAAGTTATGGTCAATGATTTCCACAATTTTGACATAAAGGGATTATCATCTACGAATGCTATCAGTTGCCCAGACTTCAAGCTGCGGCTCTTTAATGCTATATGAAAATCTCGTTTTCACATTAGAGTCCCTCGAGATTTAAAATGGAGCTTTAGAATGCGCGAACGAAGGTAGCGAGTATCTCGGGATAATTTCGCGTTCCTCGCTTGGGGGCAAAATTAAAATCAAAGACTGGGATTCGACGCGGTCCATCGCAGGATCGCAAGAAGGACGCGCGGAAAAAGGAGGCAGACGCGATTTATGACGGCGGGATTCTCTCGAGCTCGCCCGCGCATGAAATACGTTTGACAATTACACGTCTCGGGAGTATCCGACGGCCCTCGGAGTCCAGCACGGCGTCGTTAATTCGGTCCAAAAGTTTCTTATTTTCCAGCGCGAAACTCGCCGGCGGTGGCGAGCAAACGGAGCGCCATCCCCTGCTATTGATCGTCGCCGGCTCTTCAACATGGCGCCGGGGGTGGCGTTCGCGCTCAGCCTGATCCTCGTCGTCGGTCACCTGCAGGAAGGGCCAGGCTCCCTCGCGAAGACCTTCACATTCCCCGAGTACCCGTACAAGGAGACCACCAAGAATGTAAGTCGGCCGTACCCGAGTCCGTTGAATTCGTTCCTGCGAGTGGTGCCGCGTGCTCAACGTCCGATACAGGTTATGGCCGAGCAATCCCCATTCGTGTGCGGGCTGACACTTTTACGACGCCGGGGACCGGTGTGTGACGATAATCCGACTACTTGACGCTTCTTCGTCCTTCGTGCCGGCCGGCCGGTTAATGGCATCCTCTTCGAGTTATCGTGTTCGGATAAATGTGGATCACTGGGGATCGGCGAGAGAGAGAGAGAGAGAGAGAGAGAGAACATCGTTCTCGCATGGTTGTCTCGCTTCGCGCGTGAAATCGATGATTCGATCGCGGGTGATTGGAGTTTGCATAAAACATATATATATATATATATATATATATATATATATATATATATATATATATATATATATATATATA